TTGCCTTCGATATATTTCCAGGTGATATCAAAGCCTTCAAGGCTTAATTTCCATCTGAGAACCCGGGATTGAGATAAGGTTCGGAAGATGAGATTCTTATGATCAGTGTAGATGATGATTCGGCCACCGTAGAGCATGTTCCGATACTCTTTGAGGCACAGGATGATGGCTAATAGCTCCTTTTCCATTGTGGTGTAGTTCATTTGAGTCTTGTTGAGTTTCTTAGACCAGTATGCAATTGGTCGGTCCTGTTGAAGGATTGCAGCTCCGAGCTGATAATCAGACGCATCAGTGTATATATGGAAGGGTTTGTTCAAATCAGCAAAGGTGTTGATAGCATTATGTGCAAGGAGCGCCTTCATTTCTTGAAAAGCCTGATTACAAGCTGGGGTCCAGATGCAAGGTCCTGAGCCTGTGAGGGCTGTTAGTGGTGCTAACACGTGTGATCGCCTTGGCCACATGGATTTGTAGTAGTTCACTGCACCCAAGAAGGACCGGACCTGTGACTGGTTCTGTGGAATTCCCATTTTCAGGATCCMATTTACTTTCTTTTGCCATGGCTTGACTCCTGTCGGGGTAAGCCAATAGCCAAGGAAGTCAGATTCTTTGACTGCCCACTCACACTTGAGTGGATTACATTTCATTCCATTGGAGGCCAATCTGTCCAAGACTGGGTCAACCAAGGCAAGGTGTTGAGTAAAGGGTCCACGAGACCAAATTCCCATATCATCAATATATACTTCAACATCCAAGCCGGATAGGATCCTTGTGATGAAAGCCTGGGCATAGTCTGGCGATGACTTGAGTCCCATGGGTAGTCTTAAGCACCTGTAGTTGCCGTGTGTGGTAGTGAGGGTGCATATTTTCTGGCTTTCCTCATCCAATTCAAAGCAATAGAACATCATAGAGAGATCAATCTTTGTGAAGTGATTATACCGTGTTCTTCGGTTCATGATGTCTTGGATTTTGGGGAGATTAAACTTGGGCCTTCTGATCCTCTTGTTTAATTCCCGTAGATCAACAAGCCATCTGACTCGTCCATCCTTCTTGGGAATGATAAAGGCTGGGAAGCCCCATTCCGAATTACCAGTGGGAGCAATCACTCCTTCATCAACAAGATGCTGGCATTCC